GAGCCCCTTCTCCATGACAAAAGGTACGTCTTTGAGATCCCTCGTTTGATAGAAGCTACGGTTTGCTGACGAGATGAGATCATTGCTTCGAGAAACACTGTACAGTCTTCTCGAACGCAGCCCTTAGCCGTCTGCCCTGGACCAGACGATTTGGAATTGTCGATGCGGGGCCCGCGTTAGTGCTGCTGCAGCTTGCCGGCACCTTAGCACGACACACCGGACGTTCATCCTCCTCAGCGGCAGCTCGACTAGAGGAAAGGAGAGTTGAGAGTTCTGTCAGTGTGAAGTGTCAAGCGTGTGCAGGTCGACCCCACTGTCCGGTTGGCATACGTGCATACCTCATACCTCCTGTGTAAGGTACTCCGTACTTGCCTGTCAGTCGCATGCCTAGCAGAGTGGTTCAACCAGCATTCTTTTGCAAATCATTGCGAATCGAGTAATGGCAACCACCAAATGCGGTGCGAGGCGCCTGTGGGTGAGCTTTGTTTGGTGAGTGTGACGTGACCCCGGTCCTCCTCTGAGTCCACTATTATCGAACACCTCCCCCCTCCACACCAGCTTCCCCCGGTCCCTCGGAAATCGGGGATCCAAATATGGGCGGGGAAAAGGGTGCCACCTTACGGGCAGCGTCCTGAATCACAGCCCAGTATTCCAGATGCCATTGACAAAACGTTGAATCAACGATTGAAACATGAGATGACTTTCGTCCGTCACGCTCGTCACACGAACCAGCTGATTTGACAGATTTTTGTTTTTCCTCTCTTCTTTTCCACGAACGCTGCTCCAACTTACATATTAGATGACATGCTGAGTAAGGGCACGAACGTATGCCGCGTGCTCAATTCTAGCATAGCGTCCCCTTACTTGGACCATGCAAGCTAACGGACGTGAGGTAAGGGAACCCCTCTTCCAGGTAAGGTACCGTATGCAAAAAAGATGCAATTCGGCGTCCACTGCCCGCCCGCCCCAACGAGGGCTAATCAGATTACCTGCCAATTGTGCTTTTTGGTTGGGGGGAACCACGGAAAAGAGAGAGAAGTATTTCAAATACCAGCTGTAACCATTGGACTGCTTTAGATCGCATGCGAAGATCCACAACTTTGGGGGATCTGCTTGCCAGCATCCATGACAGCGCAGCTCGATGTGTGGACGTGTGATGTCTTTGTGCAGTGGTGCTCATGATACGCCGGACTGCGGCAAGTAAATGATGAAATGTAGGTGAGCTGTCAACTTTATCTCGTCGGGCTTATCTGAGACGAAAAAAGATCTCCCCCAATGGCAGTGAGCCACGGAAGACAGCTCGTCACATATGCGGAGGGGGGGGAACCATCCGGGCGATGCAGATTATGAGCAGCTAGCTGTCTTGTTTGATCATCGGCGACATAGATTGGGAGGTTGAGATGGACTGGTCCAGCCAAAGGGGCATCGTCATCTATCTGGAGCAAGTTTGGGGAGTTGGTTTCTCCTGCTTGTTACATCTTAGCTCTTGTCTCCTTCTCTATGATTTTCCAATAGGCGCTCCTGATTGCGCGTTTTCTAGTAGGAGGAACACAACTGTGAGCCACATGCATGGCGCTTACTGAGGATCAGGTTACTCATTAACATCAATCTTTTCTCACAACCTCATGAGCGGAGCAACGGTCGACGACAAGACCCAAGCGACGCCCGCGCGCAGGATCAAGTGCTGCAAATCCAGGAGCTCCACGCTCCCCAGCGCCAGGCGGTCGGCGAGGAACGACCGTAGTACGAGCGACCTGTAAGCACTCCGCGTCTGCCTGTCCGTCTGCCCGAGGACGAAGCCGTCCATGGAAGAGATGCGGAAGTCGCGGATATCGACTTTTTGTACGCCGGCGCCGTCCCCTCGTCGTCCGTCCTTGCCGGTGGCCTCTGGATTCTTGGGGGCCGAGGTCAGCGGCCGCTCGATGCGGTCGGGTCTCTGCCGCAGGGCGCGGATGGCTCTGAAGTAGATGTAGTCTAGGACGTTTGTCGTCTTTAGGGGTGGCGCGGGTTTCTTGAGGATGAGTTTTGGGAGGACCTCTGGGTGCGAGATCCAGAGCGTGCCGTTATCTTGGAATTCGCAGCATATGGCCTCGAGGTCGTGGGCGTAGCGCACGAAGCGGGTGTAGAAGACGGGGGTGAGGACCTTGATGTCGAGGTGTTCTGCGCGTTTTGGGTTCTTTTTGGCGGCGGGCGAGAGCATCGTCTCGGTGGTGCCTCCTCCTCCTCCTCCTCCTCCTCCTCCTCCTCCTCCGGTGGTAGAGATTCCCGCGGGGATATACGTGACAGCGATGGCGGCCGTGGACTGCGCGACCAGGTGACGAAGGTACGCCCGGAAAACGGGCTCGAGCCGGCTCTCCGTCGCGTCGGCTTTCCGTCCGATGCTCTCCCTCAGGGGCTCCGGGCGAAACCAGACGTGCAGGCCCTTGCGGAGGGATAAGACGGCGGCTTCTTTGACGATGCGAGGGAAGGTGACGAAGCCTACCCACCACCAGCGGCAGAGGAAGATGAGTTTGGGGAGGAAGGTCATTGTGCCTGGATCGATGGCGGGGGCCGAGTTGAAGAGGCGGGCGACGATTTTGGGGTGGTTTTTGGAGGAGGAGAGGGTGATTGTGCTGTCGAGGGTGTAGGCGTAGTCGGTCCCTGCTCCGCCGGTGCCCGCGCCGGCGGCGGCAGTGCCGGGTGGAGGGAAGAAGTCTACTGCTGAGAGGGCGTAGGATCCCTTGCGGGAGTTGAAGGGGGAGACGTGGAAGTCTTTTGGCCAGGTTTTTGTCATCCTGACCTGCTGCTGCTGCGTCTTTTTGGCGGCGCCAGCAGGGGATTCTGCATCTGCTTCTCGTGAGACTGGCTCTGCGGTGCCTTTCTCGTCATCGAGACGCTGGCTGAGGGGTACGGTGTCCGTGGTGAGAAAGTACATCCTCCGCTCGTCAAAGGTGTTGTTCACCTCAAGCACCATGGCCGTCAGCTCCCCGTCTCTGGAATAGAGGTACCAAAAGGATACCGGGTTGAAGTGGTATCCTAGGAACCTAGCGGCGGTGACGAGGTATGCGTTGGGATACTGCGCTGGATCCGCGCCCTGTGTGTGAGTGTATGTGAGCCTTAACTTCGTTCCCGTGTGTCCGTGTACACGGAAATTCTCATAGCATGGGGGGTGTGTGTGTGTGTGTGTGAGAGAGAGAGAGAGAGAGAGAGAGAGAGAGAGACCCTTACCTGTGACGTGAGATACGCATCAAGCTTCCCCCTCAACCCGAGATGCCCATTCCCTCGCTCGAGATAATCCGCCGGATCCACGTGAAACCACGCCCTCCCCTCCGTCCGCGGCGCCAGCGAGAACCACGATAGCCACCAACCTGCCTTGTCAACGTCGCACGAGACCATGCCGGCGTAGTTGCCCTTCCACCCGACGGGGATGCCGACGACGAGGTACGAGTACACAAAGGCGTGTTTCTCGGGGAACGTCCGCCTGTGTGTCGTGGTGCAGGGTATCAAGAGCGGTTTCACGGCCGTCCTTGTCCATCTCGTCGTCGTCCCTGTTTCTGTGGTGGCGTTCAGGCCTAGGAGGAAGCGAGATATCTGCAGGAAGATGAAGCCCAGGAGGAAGCCCGGGAGGAGGAGGAGCTGGTTGCGGAGGGATTGTGGGGTGATGTAAGGGGAGAGGAGGCTTGCGAGGAGGTGGATGTTGCGGTAGGTTGTGAAGAGGAGGAGGAGGGCTGTGTCGAGGTAGGTTCCGAGGAGGGAGTAGTATGTGAAGCCTGCTAGGAGGGTCAAGGGCTGGAGGCCCGGGGCGGCGGCGGCGGCGGCGGCGGGCATGATGTTTGGCCTTTTGTGTGTTTTCTCCGCGCCGAGTTGGAGTTGCGCGAACGGGCCGGCCGTTGAGGTGCTGGAGGATTGCCGGGGCCGAGGCCGGTGATCACCACGCGTTTGGGAAGGATGCCGGCGGCCGGGTTGGTGGGAAATGTGCCCGGCAGTGTTATGATGATGAAGAAGTACTGTGTATTACTTTCATTATGAGGAGCTGGGATGGTTTGTGGGAAAACAATATGGTATTGTCTAAAAGCAGTTTTTGTCTCTCAGTCATGGATCACGAAAGCTTGGATATCATGGCGGTTGCCATATCGGGTCTTTCGGTGGAGGACGGTGCGGGTTGTGGGCCGATGGGCATGTTCGATGAGATCAAGACTCTCTCAGTGAATCCACCTCAAAGTGAGAACCAGGTTCCATGAGTGAGCTTAGTCATCCCGAGAGTCCCGGCTGGCGCCAGGTGCACAGTGTTTTGACCTGTCTTGAACAGCTTTCGAGAACCCAGACAGAGTTAATTGTTGCTGGGCATCATATTGAGTCATTGAGACTCATTGGAACCTGTGCTTAGAACGCATCTCGCTTACTTCCGGGCTACAGAGAGTATACTACCAATGCCAGAATATGACAAAGGCAGCCGTTGCTATTTGGTCAGGGTTTAGGTAGTACATGTGCGATGAAAGAACTGAGGAGGAAACGACGACTTACTTCCGTTAACTGCGATAAGTGACAACGGAAGGAACGATAATTTACTTCACGGAGGCCGCTCTTCTGGATTTGGACGGGCTGGCTTGCGTAGAACGACGACGGCGACGACGAGACCTTGAGACCTTGAGGGCCACGAGGGCCACGAGGGCATCGAATCTGATCTGATGTGTGGCGCAGTCAGGCAAAAATAGAGACCGGCCGGGGCAACCAGCGGGAAAAGACGCGGTAAGGCTCATAGGTAGGTACCTCAGTCGAGCGCTCAGCTGGAGGAACAGTTCTCGGCGACAGTGGAGGAGGGGGGAGGCTCTTCAGGTCGGCCACCCCGCCAATTTACAGCCCAGTCTGACAGTCCCGGTCTGGTGCTCTGCTGCTGCGGCGCGGCGTTAGGCACATGCAGGGATACCCGCCCCTCTTACCTCCGCCGGTTGACTCAGTTCGCTCAGTCCCTCGATTCCCCTCGACTCCCCTCCTCCCCCCTCCCCCCACCCGGGTTTTTTGTCATCTATGTCAGTCCATCGACTTCCATACGCTCACTACTCAGTGGTACATTTGCCGGCCAACCTACCAATCTGTCCCACGCACCAGCCACAAAGGCCAGCCGACTGTACATCAGGACCCTCTGTTCTCTTTGAACCGGCGCCTCCCAAAAACTGACGCAACGAAACCCTCTTTTATCTACCTGCCCTTCTTCCTTCCCTTCCCCCCTCCACCAACAAACCAACAGCAAAACCTCACGAGACCACATCACCAACACCCCGACGAACAGAACAAAACAGAAGGATACATAGTTTCCCTTCTGCAATCAATAACTCTCAACACTTCAACAACTCTCAACACTTCAACAACTCTTCACACATCAGACCGACCGCCCACAATGGATGACTGGGACACCGCCACCAAGATCGGCTCCAAGGCCCGCGGCGGAGGTGCGCAGAGAGAGACCGTCATCAAGGGAAAGAGCGCCCTCAATGCCGCTCAGCGCAGCGGTTCCGTCATTGGAACGGAGAAGAAGTACGCTGCTGGCAATGCTGTACGTTTACTTCCTGGACAGTTCCCCCTTTCCCTACGCAGAGACAAATGTCGCCAATGCCTTGAAAATCACGCTTGACATCATGAACCTCTGGCCAACCTCACCCCCTCCATTCTCCACAATTCTCAATCGATGACGGGAGATGGAGAGGAGAGAGAAGAAGACACTATTGAAACCACTGGTCCATCCAAAAGACCAACACTTGATTGAAAATCAAGAGATGCTAATTTCGCTCTTCCAACAGGCCACCAAGCCCGGCGTCGAAGGCCAGCGCCTCACCAAAGTCGACCGCTCCGACGACATCATCAAGCCCAACACGGTCGGCAAGGAGGTCGGCGACGCAATCTCCCAGACGCGCCAAAAGATGGAGCCCAAGATGACCCAAAAGGACCTCGCCACAAAGTGCAACACCACCCAGTCCATCGTCGCCGACTTTGAGCGCGGCAGCGCCACCCCCGACCAAAAGATCCTCTCCGCCATGGAGCGCGTCCTCAACATCAAGCTGCGCGGCGCCAACATTGGCGAGCCGCGCTTCGCCAAGAAGAAATGAGCGGGGGCACCATCTCTGATTTTTGATCCCAAATCACTTCTTCATTTGATACCACAACTCAGTGGGATTCGTCAACGATGTGAGGGAAGGGACGGGGAAACGAGAGAGAGCGTTCGTGCCCCCACCCTAACTTGCGCTGGGGAGTCTGGTCCTTTGGAAAGGGCGGAAAATGGTCGTATTGAACACAGAAAGCAAAATGACCCGGCTGGTTTGCATACAAATGCTCGAGAGGCTGGCTCTTTATGAAGGTTACGGTTCCTAGACGTTTTTACAGCACAATAGATGAGTTGGCGACTCCAGAGCTGACGATTACACTGATTCCATTATTCTGCATTTGTTGCAGTCTCTACATGTGTGTGTGCGACTGGTTGCACCTCATCGTGTAAGGTCTAAATACTGCCTCCTGCAAGTGAACCAGGCGCCCGCAACTCTCTCTTTGAATCTCGTCCCTCTGTGTGGTATCTTCCAAACTCCGTATGCAGAAAACACGCTATGCCATGCATCAATCCAACCGTTATAGCACACTTCACTCGATAACTTCCAACCACAGAAATCCCTCTATGCAAGAAGTCGGTTTACTCGCGCGGCAAGCTCCGCCTCGTACGGCTTGCGTCTCGTCTGGATGACGACATGCTCCTTTCCACCAACCGTGGCAACCCTCAACCATTCCGGTGCGACCTCCTTAGCAATCAGGCGTACCGCGTCGACACCTTCCTCCATGGGCATGGGGACGCGCAGAGAGTCCTTGAGCTTTTGCTGCAGAACAGGCATGGTGAAGGAAATGACCATCTGTCCGGCCGAATTGGACGACGACACGAGCATGGAAATGATGGCGGAGATGTCGCCGACACGCTGCAGCGCTCGCTTTCTCGCGATCTCAGGACCAGTGGGGAGCTGAATGTTGGCGTTGGCTTCCTCCTTGGCTCGGAGTCTGTCGAGGAGGGACATCTTGGTGCCATTGGGGTTGAGTGCCGGAAATTTGAATGCCTGGGCTTGTGCCTCCTTCTCCTTCTTCAGTAGGATGTCGCTCTTGATTCCTGACAGCGCGCGTTGGCCCTTGGCGAACAGGGGGTTTGCCGACATCGTCGTGTGACGAATGGTAATGTTGGACTTGGGCAGGTCGTTGAAGCTCAGGTTCTCGAAGCAGATGTCGAGATCTGACATCTCATCCATTGCGCGCTGGGAGCACATGATGTGGAGGTTCTTCTCGAATTGTTGGCAAAGCTCGTTCTCATCGATGCGGCTGGTGTTCTTAGTGAGGTCCATCTCGAGGCAGAGCTTGCCGCGACCATAGTCGGTAACGATAAAGGGCGAGCCGAGGGACCCATCCTCCTGGCCTTCTGTCTTTGTATCTTGGATGGCAATGCATCTCCGAATGTCGTCCACTGTGACTTTCCTCTTTCCCCATGTGCGGGCGACGTGAGGTGTGATGGAGCTGATATCAAGAGGTGCGTTGTTGTTTTGGTGCACAAGCTGAAGGGAAACAGTCTTGAGGATGGCACGTTGCAGGTCCAGGAGCTCCAGAAGTTCGGCAGGCAGCTGCTTCTTGACGACCTCCTCCTTGATCTCTGACTTTGTGGCATTGTGCTTCTTTGTTCGTTTGACCTTTTGGTTGGCTTTGCGCACTTCGGTCTTTGCTTGGGAGATGATGTCCGACTTGCGAGTCTTTCGGCGGGTGTCGGCGACTGGTGATGTTGTGCTCTTTCTTGTAGAAGCAGTAGTGGTGGTTGCGGTTGTTGGGATGACCTCAAGCTTGATGGGCACAGGCTTGTCCTTGGTATCTTTGAAGACTCGCTGACGCTTCATAGACTCGCGTATCGGGGCGTCGCTTCTCGCATCTCTTGGTGAAATGTCTTCGTCGATCGAACTTGACTTGCGCTTCTTGGAGGGTGTCGCTGCAGGCTGAGGGGGGAGAGCTCTTTCCGGGCTGGACTCGAGCTTGATCTCTGTCTTGACCTCCGTTTTGACGACTGGAAGAGAGGAGGGAAGTCCGATGAAGAAGACCTTCTTTGAGGCATCGTCTACAGGAGCAGGTTGTGTTTTTGAGAGTCGGCCGTACTTGCTGATAAGGTTGGTCGCTGGCGTAGCGACAGGCTTGACCTGCCGACGAGAAGCTGCACGAGCCATTGCGTCGAGATGTGCAAGTGCTGGTCGTCTAGGTGATGGGCAGAATGTAAATCCAGGCGTTCAAGAGCGATGCAGAGTACAAGCGGAAGTTGTAGTGTAGAAGACGAGAGAATTGGCAGGCGCAATTAAAAGTCTCGATTTGTGTAGAAGGTACAAATTAAAGTACTGAGAAGTCACGAAGAGTATGAAGAGGTTTTGTATATTGGAAGGAGAGTGGGGAGCGGAAATGATGGAGCAACGATGGCAGCAACGCGCCGGGCTAAGGGGGTCGCGGACCACCGACCGCGACAGACGCGTTTTTCGAAAGGAGCACACGATGCAGGCGGGAAGGAAGTCGCGTTAAGTGGTGGGGCGCGCTGGTGTTGATGGTCCGTGCGTTCTCAGTAGGCGAAACCTCGGCAATATTCCTCCACACTTTCCCAGCGGCCTGGGCAACGGAAGCTCTTCCCGTCGAGGTCCCCCCAAGAAAAGGGACGAAAAAAAAAGTTGAAGAAGGAAATAGGAGTCAATCTGGACAGAGATTCCGCCTGCCTTCCAAATTTGGGACAAGCATTGCGACCACTGTTTTGGGATTGCCTGCTTGTCCATGCTTGCCTCATATCTGTCTATAACGCGGGGATTAGGCTGTTCGAGCTGTTCCATTGCAAACATGGGACGGCCCTTCCCCCTGTCAACCGGCGAACCATTCGCAGGACGAGTCACAATCCCCGGGTATTTTAAAACGCAGCATATATATAGGCGAAGGCGGTTGCAGAAGAAAAAGTGTTATCAATGTCAATCCATAGCTAGAAAGACCAATTTCCTAGGTGCGCACAGAAAATGAGTACGCATTCTGAACGATGTATGGGGTGGAACGTTTGTCGTCTCCAACCATTATCGTTTTTTTGGTGGCTGCTTGCTGCCAATAATCCTTATGCAGACCAAGAAGAAGAAGAAGAAACCCATGATATGTGCCAGCCCTGCTTTTTTTGTGTAAACCCCATTCGCGAGCGATTCGAAAAAGAGTTTGCTCCGCGCCTATTTCGCCCCGTACTCCCATGATGTGTCCGTATGCTGATTGTACAAGTAAAGAGTAACCCCCGTGTCGAACAGTGGGCAGAAAGAATTCGTCCGTAGCTCTGGACGAGAACGTCTCATCGGCGGATCGATGAGTGCCAGTGGTCCGTAGCGAATGATACCGGGCTTGGTGGAGGAGGCGCCGGCACGCTGTAGTCGTTCTCTTGGATCATGTGTACAGGCGTTACCGGGCGGTGGGTAGTTGAGGCGAGAGTCGCGTTTAAACTTGTGTAGAGGTCCTGGCCCGTCATCAGGCGCAGATTCCTCCGTTGAGGAGGAATGGGAAGAGGCGAGGCGATCTGGCTGGCAGGCATTTTGATTGTTTGTGTCGCGGAAAAAAGGTGAAGACCTATCACGTAGGTGTTAGACGAAGAGTCTGGAGGTTGTTGTGTTGTCGACAGACTCCACGTACCGATGGTGATGGGTCTGTATCCGTACGGAGGAATCTGGGGAAGATACGGGGGTTATAAAGACAGCTGTGGATATGGTTGCTTGTTGAGAGGCGTTGTCGAGGCTGGAACTGGTGCCGAGACACAGTAGAGTGGAGTGATATTCCTTTAGACGGGGGAAGGTGTATGTAAGGTAGGTAGGCAGTGGGCGAGATGGAAGGCAGCGGGCGCAGTGAAAGTGCAGACGACGGAATATTTAAAGCTGAGAGCTCTATACGAGAATCGGCTGACAGACACACACACACACAGAGAGAGAGAGAGAGAGAGGGAGAGAAAAGACAGAGAGCAGAGAGAGAGAACGAAAAGGGTGCGACCGGGCGTTTGTGCGCGATCCGTAACAGAGATTTCACAATTCCTTTCCCTTGTGTCGTAAGTAGACCGAACACCCCCCGGGCTGGTCAAGTCGGTGCGCAAACAAGACAAGGGTGGGTGGAATGCCTGGGAGCAAAAAGGACCCAACCGAACGGTCGAAAGTGTGGGCTATGGGCAGAGCAAATCGACAAGAGGCGCGGGCAAGGTTGCAGTTGCCGGGAGAGTTCAACGGAAGCGTGGGGAAGAAAGTCAGGGGTTCCAGCGATGAAGGGGAGATGAGCAAGACCTGTGAAGGGGGGGTGTGGGAGTGAGAGGAGGAAGGAGGAGGATGAGGGTTCAGAGAATGACGAGGAGGTTGAGATGGACGAGAGTTTGCTCTTTGACAGCTCACGGGCTCCAAGACAGGCGGAAACAGAAGGCAGACTGGCAGAGTAAATACCTTACCCGATGTTGGACGGACGTGGAATTGAGACAGGATGATAAGGGCAGAGAGGCAGAAGAGGCAGGTATTCGTAGGTACACACGACGAAGATCGCGGAGAGCTGGCATGCGAGGCTTGCGATTTGCAATGTCGCAATCTAATGAGGCAAAGTATAAGACGATGAGGCACCTGGGCTTGGACTGGGGCTGGCTTGTCGTGCTTGTGTCATGACGAATGGGCAGTATTGTGTCTCAGTGGACTGGCTGTAGTTTGGTTATGATTACCTTGGGCATTTAAATGTGGGAGCTCGCGCAGACTCTTCACATACCCGCGCCTCATGAAAAGGTATGTAGTTGATACTTTGCATCCCTATTGAAACCCCAAGGTACGGATACATTGGTCTGCCTCTGGAAATCAGGCTTGTCGGCCAAAAAGCAACATGTCGTGCAGTCCAATCTTCTGTCGTACTGCCGTCTGTTTGTTGTGCTGGCTAGCCCCAAACCAGCTCCCACGGTCCATGGATGGTGGAGGTCTCCAAAAGACAATCCCCGGCTTTCATGGGGAGCGCTGGAAGCCTGGAAGCAGAGGAATGTTCCATGTGGATGTTCCTCTACCAGGATCAGGGCTCATTGCCCCTTTGAGAGAGCTCGGCGATGGGGCCGGATGGGCTGACCCTGACCGTTCTGGTGTTCGGTGTAAGAGGGGGGAGTATCCATACCGGGAAAATGGGGGCAACTACAGATAAGGTACCTGGCGACACGAGGTGGACAATACAAGTCAAAGGGGTTGAACATGTATCCGTACTCTGCCGAGGCAGAGCTCTCGCCGCCGTGTTCCTCCCTGCCTATCCTTCGTCTTCGTTCTTTGGGCATAGGTAGAGCATGCCGCAACGATGGAGAAAGAACTGCAAATACCGCTTGGCAGGCAACGGAGCCGGCGCATCTCCTCAGATAGAGAGATGATCACTTCGGGGAAACAGAGAAAGAATGCCGGCGCAAGTCATGGCAAGCTGGGATAAAACAGAACAGGGCTGTTCCTTTCCTGCTTGCGTAGAAGCTCCCACACGGGTTTTACCGCCATTCGCCTCTGGATCATCCCAGCTGTCGCATGCCGTCGGTGAGTTTTCTTTCTCTCTATCCGCTGGTATCCATCGTCTTATTTTGGCCCCGGATTTTCTTGCTTATGCGGGTTTGAAGGACGAGAATAATCGCCCAACAGCCTAGGACCCTGCACTTTGGGAGAACTTGCGGGCCAAACGGATCGAATGGATGAAAATAAGGCGCGAGGAGGGGGCTCCGTCCAGTGTCCAATTCTGATCAAGGTCGTCCCATCCGCCGGAAGTCGGAAGTTGTACCTTCTTTTTCCCCCAACGTATTGGACGGAAATCGTACGGCAAGTTCAACCTTGCAATCAACACCCAGGTTGACCTGCCTGAGGACGAGGTGCTGGGTAGAGGACTAGAGGTACGGATACCGGGTTAATGTGGAGTGAGGTATTCTGGGTGCCTCCGAGGCTCCGCTTGCCTTTGCCACGATCTGAACGGTTACGGAGCTGTAGCTTGCATATTGCGTTGCTGGAATTCCATTCAAATTGGCAAGGCGGCATCCGTCTAACCCATTTTCACTTGTGATCGTCAAAAGATGGGACCGAGGGATAGACCTTATCTCGGTGACAAGCCTTGAGAAACTAAACTCCAACCCGAATCTGGAAGTGATAAAAACAACTTGGACTAGTTTCAGCCCACCCTATCTGATTGCAGAAGGGAACGGGATACAAGAGAAACTCCTCCAATTGTCACAAAGTCGGCCCTTATTCCTAGAGGTAAGGTAATGCTTGCCGACGGGGAGACGGGGATGGCAAGGCCATGTGTCTTTTTTGGTCCACGGGGCAATACCTACAGTACAATCTGCTTTTTATCTGAAATTCGGTTCGTGCGCCGGATCGCCATGCCTCTTTACGCGGGCTTTTCTCGTCCGTTCTTTTTGAGGTGATCTCGTTGGGCGTTGGGGGAATGGGATCGAGAGGCACAGAGCATTTTCTCATTTTTATTGAATTTTTTTCTCTGTAAAGGACCTCTTTCCTTGCGGTGGACCTAGGCACCTACCGGTACTACGTACATAAACAATCAGACTCCACTTATCAGGTACATAAGGGGAATGTGGAGTCTCTCTTGCATTTTGCGGAGAAGCCCGCCAAAAGTAAGAAAACCCCCAACTTCTTGCATTCCCCAAACTCTCGGGGACGGAGCCACGGTCAAGGTACTTCCAGGTTCAGGTTTCCCCCTACAAAGTGCACAACACACACAGCACACGGCAGCTTCACACCATCTCGTTCCCCCAAACACATTTCGGCCACGAGGTGGACGGCGGACTAGGCCTGGAAACGACGTGCTACATTCTACACACCTCACCTTCCCGTCCTGCGACGGCACCCTTGGGTGACCCCCAACGCGACACTCGTTTTGGACTCTTCATCTTGCGAGACAGGGGGCATGGAGGCCAACGTAGCTACTCCAAGTACAAGTACGAATACTTCGTGGCACGCAGACACGCAGACGCAGACTAAAGAGAAGACGTATCGATAATCACGATATGGTAGGGCGTGGCGTCCTACCACTTACACGTCTCCTGCAGCCTCATCAACAATGCTGCGAATTGTCAGCAAGCCCGCGTAGTGCAATCAACTCGTATCAGGCTTCCCAACTTCCCGCAAACGACGTAAATATCCCCCCTTCGCCTCGACTTACGGCTTGTCTCCTGACTCACGGCCCCCAAAAGTCTCTGGTCCAACCTCACTTCCTTCTGCCACGTTGCCTCCAGGCTCCAGCTGTCAAAAGAATTTCCCACACCTTCGCGGCGTTTCTATTGTGCCCCAAAACATGCACACCCATCGCCGTCCTCCGATCTGGACGGACAAATTCAAGGCCATTAGCGTCATGGCGCCGCTTACCCTTGAACAGAGGCCGCCATTCATCAAGACCTCATTTCACTTCCCATGCCAGTCATCATGGCTGGACTATCGTCCTGCCGCCACCTCCCTCGGGGAACTCAAGCCGTCGCAACAAGGGTGTTAACCTCGACCGTCTCTACTCGTCCAGCGTGTTTGTGCTACCAGGTGTCTACGCGCTTCCATGCGAATGGTCTGTTTTAGCCTGCCGGCCTCGGCCCAAGCTTCCGCTATTATACGCACGGATGGGGGATTGACGTCCAGAGTACGAAATGCTCACCACACTCCTGTTGCATCTTACCGGTCCCCAATGCAGCTTACCTGACCACTAGGAACTCTTGGTTGTCATACCGAGTTGCGGTGTGCAGCTACGCCTCGGTCTCTGGTAACTGACTGGCCGACAGTGTCTGCTGTGGTCGCGGCTCAGTGCCCATCCGACGCTGCCAGGCTACCCTCGGACACAAGACTTGCTTCCAAAAGCGGTGTGCACAGATATGTTAGTGTATGATTGGCGCCTCCGTAACCTTTGGTTTGTGTTTGCTCGTCATCAAACATTGATATTTCAGCTGTCCGCTACGGGTAGCTAACGCCCGTACTTTAGACTCCCGTTCCCCGCGTTTCCACCAAGCATACGGCGCCGCGCCCCGGCTCCTCATTCGACCCCGCCTTACAGCATTGTCTCACCTGGGACGTATAATTTCAGCTCTTCATCTTACCGCCAATATTGCGTCAGAAACCCTTCGTCAGGGCCAGACCATCTCTGGTATGCAGTAAATCCGTGAGCTCACTTCTGCCTTGCTTGTTGCTGTCAGAGCTAGCAACCTGCTCGATGTCTTGTGTTCATCTCAGATCGACGCGAAGCTATAGCCAAGTGGTGGTCTCAATATGAGGCCCGAGAAGCTTCCTAGGGCGCATTCCGCCTTTGCAGAATTCCATGTCGCAAACGAGGTATCTCCTGGGAATGTCTCGCCGTTCTGCGACGCTACCACACAAAAGTATCTCCATAATGCTCTCAGTTTAACATGTATTGAGGGCAGCGATTGCCGCCAATGAAACTCGACCATGAGCCAATGAACTGCAGTAAGCCCGCGCTGTTTTCATACCTTGACTCGCCCGTTAAATTTGCCGGAGGTTATGTTGAAAGGCCGGTTTGTTGAGAGCCGTACATGCATTTGTTGTGGTCTCAAAACACCAATCCGCCGCTCGTGGTATTCCCAAACCAAACACAATCTTTGCCCAGCTCCTCAATACCGGGACCAGGCCGTGTGCGCATGGTAAGAAAGGCCTCGGTGAGAAAAGGTTGAAAGTCGTCGCCAACGAGAGGTCCTACCCGTCGACGGATGCAGCTTGGACAGCGTCAAAGTAACACCCCAGGTTTGATCGCAGTTGAAGCACGATCTACCGAGAAACTTGGGACGACCCGGGGATGTCTAGTATGGGTTTCCGATTCGTCAAAGTCACGGTCGGTATGCCCGCACAAGGTTTCGGGGAAGGGGGAGGGGAAGAATGAGACGCAACACCCGGCTGCAGTCAAGAGTTGGGATGGAAAAGTGAGATGATGGGCTGGCGGGGCGGCCGGTCACCCTACCCGGGAGCTGCTGGGATGCTCCCGGGCCAACTTGTTGAGTGGGAGCCACGCAACCACGTTGCCTTTGAATTTGCACTTGTCGTCTTGAGGGACCAATAGCCCTCGAATCATCCTACAGATTGCTGAAACTTGTACCTTGCAAAGTCCGAATATTAGCGTCATGAAATGCGTGCCGTCCGTCTAGCTCGGGGTGCCTTGTGGGGCCGTTCCGTCTGTGAAGCCGCTTTCGTGGCGGCCGGGCGGGAACGTTCTCTGGGGCTGCACATCAAGAAATAGTGGCCTGTGTCTGATGTTCAGATTGAGTCCGGTTGATGAGTAACTCGCTCATAATAACGTAATTAGTCTGTATATTCGGGGTTCTCTCTTCCCTTTTTCTTTCAAACGTGTACCTACCCCTATAGATATCCCTCTTCTTATATGACATAGTACTCATTACCTTATCATGTGAAAACCACCGTACTTCTTTGGCAATATTCAAGCGGATTCAAATCTGCTTGTGTCCTTGTTTGGGTCGAGATGAACGCGACTTTACATCTCGAGTAATAGGATGTAAAGTGTGAATAACTGAATTTAGCTCCGGTAAAGCTTTCATGAACAACTTCTTCAGCGATGGGGCGCATACTATGGCTTGCCTTGTAGCAGTGTTAGGAGCCTTCAATCTTAAGAAACGCTTGAATTGAGTGACGACGTGCCTCGGTTGCAGAGAAATCTACCCTCTCTCAAAGCTTCAAGGCACTGAGTTTGATTGCTGAGGCCTTGCCTGGCCAAGACCGCATCAGATCTCGCTGTTCAATGTGTATATACCCCCTTCGGATTCTCTCAAATTATATCTGAATGTCAAGGCGTTGAAGTAAGTCGTTTTTGCCACGGACCCCGCTATCCGTGTGTGAAGCCAAAGGTGGTAAAACGAGGTACCACGAACTGCCCAAGCATGTCAGACCTAAGGAAGTGGTGCATTAAAGATTCATTTTTCAAGCCAAATGAACAGCTCGAATGACCATACGGCAGCATATGCACGTTCTCGGGGGAAACATGGTAGATTCGAAACCTTTCGGTTATGTGGTCGGGGGGTTCTCCGCACCCATATCACGACTGCACCACGTATTGCTTTTCTCAAGCCTTGGAAATGATTACAAGGTTCCCCCGAACAGGGGAGCAAGTGGTTTTTTTCCAAACTACCTGGTCCAGTCATAGGCGCGATATGCTCTGCCCCGCCGCTTCAGTGGGGAGGATATTGCCCAGTAGTTTGATGTCAGAACCAACGAACAATGCCAAGTGATTGGTTTTTGCAACCTTTGGAAAACTGTGACTTAGCAATTTTCTTCGAATTAGCAGTCTTAAACACTTGAATACGTTACAATCAGTCATAAGAGACTTTGCCATAGAAACTATCCATTTCAATCTTCAGCATGGGCTCAGATGTATCTGGAGGTCCTCCATTCACTCATATGTTCTATAATCAATGGGGTCGGCATCCTATCTGCACCACACTAGCTACTGTCTTTGCGATCTTTGTACTATTTCGAGTCTTCGGGACAGCGAGACAATACCGCCGCCTCCGGCACTTTAAAGGTCCACCCCTGGCAGCTGTGTCGAAGCTATGGCTCCTCAAGACCGTCACTGGATCTCGGGGTGACCTCGAGTTCTACAAGGTGACCAAGAAATATGGTGAGTACCTTTCTTCTTTTCATACCCAAGGACGTTGCCGCCGACTCCCGTCCGAGAAGGGACTGGTTTCCGGATGAGTGATGGTTAAATTCAAGAATGGAAAGCGTAGACGCAAAAGACGCAGGGACTGACGAACCCTGATGTGCCGCAGGCTCCCTCGCGCGCATCGGCCCTGATGACCTCCTCAACGACGATCCTGCGCTCATGAGGCGCATGCTCGGCGTGCGGAGCGCGTACCGGCGCTCAGATTGGTACGACGGCATGCGCTTCAACCCGTCCAGGGATAATGTCCTCTCGTGCAGAGATGAGGATGAGCATACCCAGCTACGGTCAAAAATGGCCGCCGGTGTGAGTTTTATCAGGTCATCAATCGGTAACTTCATTGTGGAATATTATGGGAAAGGCTGACGAAGAGGTTCTCTGTAGTACTCTGGCCGCGAGGTCCAAGCCTTTGAGAAGAAGATTGACGGGAACCTCCTCCGGCTGATCAAGCTCATCGACAGCTACATCGATGCCGGGAAACCATTCGATTTCGGACGAAAGGCGCAGTTCTTCACGCTGGACGTCATATCGGATCTCGCGTTCGGGGAGCCGTTTGGGTTTGTGGGGTCTGATTCGGACATGTACGAGTACATTAAGACGACGGAGGAGAATCTTCCCGTCTTCATGGCTATGACTGTATTGCCCTGGGTCATCAGGTTGTTTCGATACCCTTTTCTTAGGTCGATGTTGCCCACGGAGAAGGATCCGCTGGGTTTCGGCAAGGTGATGGAGTAAGAGATTGGCCTTCTCCCGTTTTGCTATTGAGCAATGCTTTGAAGGATACTCCTTGCTGATATTTTTGGTACTAGAATAGCTAAAAGGTTCTCCGCCGAGCGATTTGGCTCCGATGGAAAGGTTCAGAGAGATATGCTGGGTTCCTTTGTCGCCCACGGCCTCACGCAAGAAGAGGCGGAATCCGAGATCCTGCTCCAGATGTAAGTTCTACACCTGCGCCCCCTCTGTTTTAGTCAAGATGAAATTAGAAAAAAAGAAAAAAGCCCAAGACTTATTCATTGTTAAAAGCATCGCCGGCTCCGATACGACAGCAACAGCAATCCGCGCAACGCTCCTCTATATCCTCACGAACCCCCGCGTCCACAACAAACTTTTAGCAGAGATCCTCTCTGCCTCCACCGCAGATGTGCACACCACTGAAAGAGCTACCCGTAACCGTCCCATCATCACCGACGCGGAAGCCCGCAATCTACCGTACCTCCAAGCCGTCATCAAGGAAGGGCTGCGCGTCTTCCCGCCCGTGGCGGGTTTGATGGCCAAGCAGGCGCCACCGGAGGGCGACACGTGGAACGGCGCCTTTATTCCGGGAGGAACGCGCATCGGGTGGTCTGCGTGGGCTATGTTTCGTCGACAAGACGTCTTCGGCCATGATGCGGACGAGTTTAGGCCGGAGAGATGGCTTGCGGAGGAGGGTGACCGTGACGGTCCTGGCGGCAGCGTGGATTCGGATTCAGGGAAGAGGTTGCATGAGATGGAGGCGACGATTGAGTTGGTGTTTAGCTATGGGCGGTATCAGTGCCTCGGACGGCCGGTTGCGTTGATGGAGTTGAATAAGGTATTTTTCGAGGTGAGTTTTGTTGTGTCTTTTCCACCTGCCCTCTCTCTCTCTCTCTCTCTCTCTCTCTCCTTTTCCCCTTATGACTGGCTTGTGGTGAAGATGAAGACCCGGGAAACATTCTGATGTGTGATAATGTAGCTCCTTTTGCGATTCGAGCTTACCATCTGCGACCCGTTGAATCCGTGGAAGACGTTCAATTGCGGTATTCACGCGCAGTCCGAATATTGGATCAGGGCCCGGCGGAGAGTGTAGTCCATGGATTTCCGCAGCGTGTGTGGGATAGTGAACGCGGCTGGGTCGGCAGTATTTCCAATGGTTTCTGTATTCAAGTTGAAATCAGACAGAGTACTCGAGTCTCCTTGAGAAAGTAGCCGGCTCATTCAAAGTGTTAGAACCAATAGTGTTGAATGTTGGTAACTTCTCTACAGACCTTGAGCTTCGATTCCCGGCCGAATTTGTGGGACTCTGAATATCTTTTCAAGTGTTGTATTGTATGACTCATGACAGTTTAAGGGTGTAACGGGAGGAAAAGAACAAATGCAAGTATGCTGTAGTATTTATGATTGAACAGCACCATGAAGTCGTCTACGGCTACCTGTCGCCTTGGATTGTTTGAATTATTTTTACTGGCGCAGAAACTACCATGGCACCAGATAAATTGCTAGAGCAGTTCAAAAGCTGGTGTGTTTGCGTAAGAAGTCTTACCTGCCAACAGGTAAGTAGCCCCCCCATGGCTCGTTCCACGACGCATCCTTCACAATGGCATCAGAACTCCATCCCAAGAGATATACTATACCATCGATTCAAGACTCACAGTACGGACTTAATTTTTTTTCCTACGCGAGGATTTCAAGAAGAAAACACCACGAATTACCAGGTTCAATGGATAAAACAGGTCAGAAGTATAACACCCAATTGGCTAGCTCACCATGGTGAACAACCCCACAAAACACTCCCATGGACCACTTTCCTCGCCCCCATTAACCCCGCATGCTCCACGTTAGCTTTCAACTGGGGAACGCCAGGTCGCGTTTGTGCCTCGGCATCTCGAATATCTCTCCCGATTGTTTCGACGTTTCCCACCAGTCTCTTTCAACGTCATTGATCTTTTGGATCTTCAACATTCATCAACAGTCGATTTCATCTCATTTCATCTCATTTCATCTCATTTCAATTTCATACTGCTCGTCCAAAGATAAAGAGAAGCTCAGCCTTTTCTTACCGCATGCTCAGTTACTTCATCTCACTTCCTCTCATTCCCAATCACTCCAGCCGTAATACCTAAACCGAAATAATGGCTTCATCCGACGAGGAAAAGAAGATTGTGCTATACCACTACTCCGCCTCGCCATACGCAAAACGGATCGTGTGGTATCTAGCTCTCAGAGGCATTCCCTACGTCCAGTGTGTAAGTAAGCCTTACAAAATTCTCACAACCACCATCTCCCTGTTTTAACAAAACACTAACAACAACACCACCCTAGATGCAACCACCAGTCCTCCCCCGCCCAGACGTATCAAAACTAGGTCTCAGCTACCGCCGCATCCCCATCCTCGCCATCGGCCGCGACATCTACCTCGACACGCGCCTCATGCTCCGCAAGCTGGAACAGCTCTACCCATCCTCGCGGCCTCGCCTCGGCGCCACAAACCCAGACCACGCAGCCGTACAGCGCCTCCTCGAAGCCCTCATCATCGACTCCGTCTTCTCCAACGCAATGAACGTCATCCCCACCAACCTACCCATGCTCAAAGACCCCAAACGCACCTGGATCAAAGATCGCTCCGACTTTGTCGGCGGGACCCTCTCCACCGAGACAATGGAGCGCGGGCGGCCCAACGCCGTCAATGAGATCCGTCGCACAGTGGAGCTGTTGGAGACGACGCTGCTCGCCGACGGGCGGGACTGGATTTCCGGCACGGAAAGTCCCTCGCTGGCGGATATCGAAGCGGTGTGGCTGCCGCTCTGGTTAGCCTCCCTCCCCGGCGCGCTGCCAGCGGATCACATTTCCAAAGAGCAGTTCCCCAAAGTCTTTGCCTGGATCGAGCGGTTCCAAAAGACGACGTCGGAAGCGAGAAAGGCAGCCGGAAAAGTCCAGACGGTATCGGGCGACGAGGCGGCGGAGATTGTCCTCTCGTCACCATATAACGAACTTACCACAAGAGGAGGTGTCGACGCAAAGGACTTGCTCGTGATCGCGCAGGGTCTCAAGGCGGGCGACGAGGTGATTGTCTGGCCCGCCGACACGGGCGCCTCGCACAAAGACACGGGGAAGCTGCTGAGCCTTGACGGGGAGGAGGTCGTGTTCGAGATCACGGGGCCCAAGGGGTCTGCGAGGGTTCACGCGCCGAGACACGGGTTCCGGGTGGAGAAGCTGGAGAGGTATAACGCGCGCACTGGGGCGGCCGCGAAGCTGTGATTTCTCTCTTGCTTCTTTTTTTTTTTCTTTTTTTTCCGCAAGCGACCACGGCCCGAAGGGATTTGCGACTTCGTCATTCTGCCGGGTGGCCGTTTGTCGGAAAGGGGGCATGTGGGATTGGATCCTCCGGCCGGGAAGCGTCCTCATTCCAGAGTGCCTGTACCGGAGAGAGGAATCAAGGACTACCGGGCTCGGCGTGACACTTTACGGCGCAGGTGGGAAACGTGCAAAAAACGCCCGCGCTACATCACTGATAAACCACCCATCGAGAATCTGTAGCATCATCAGGCCTTATCAGAGTGGGAGGAATGTGATCAACATCTGCAGCCCCAAACATGTCAGCCGCGCATCTAGCGACGAGCTGAGATGTTTTTGAATTAGACATGCTGAATAGTTAGGCCCCAAACAATGGCCGTTCGTACGACTTTCCCATCGTCCTCACGCACCGAGAAAACTGTTTCCGGCCTTTCTCAAAAACCGCGTGCTGATGTGTATACATAGGCCGGAAAGGGCAAGCTGAGTTTCACCCTAACGCGCACCGGCTCCCACAACTGAGGTTGCTGAACATTTGTTGCCACTGCTCAAGCAATGTAGGTGGAGTAGTCGGCAACGGCTAGAGATCCAATGTCAATCTCGATATGCTCACACGAGCTTCCGGGCTAGGCTTGGCGGAAGGACATAGTCGACTACTAGCGAGCCGCGGGACGTAGGCCTCTACGTCCGGCTCCTGCGCACGCCGATATAGATTTTGATGCAAGATCCGGGATTCTTTGGACGCGATAGCCTATCACAGGGTACCTAACATCTGCCGACACGGCCCGTTATTTGGGACTTCCATTCCTCCCAAGGTAAAGTCTTGCTCGATCTACTCGGAAGAAAAGATGTATACCGGTACTCGTGTTTACGGGTTGTGAAGCGAACACTCAGAATATGATACGCAGTGTCACAATATCCAGATGTTGATGTTCAGGTTCCGGAAAGCTATTTTGTCGATCCGTTTAAGAGGCGCACAACCCTCCAGCTGAGTCTGTGTCAAAGGTTTCCATCGTAGACAGGCGTGTCGACGATTCTGCACCCTCAGATCATCGGACGAGACCCTCCGCCAGGGACCCGGAGAGCGAGTTGAGGCTTACACAAGGCACTTGTGGCGCTGACCCGGTGGAATGGAGCAGCGGACGCCGCCGGACGGAGAACATGGGGCCTAGACGGCACGATGGCCAAGCGTGTTGTCTCTAATTCGAGGCACGGCGTGGGTTTGTGATTCTGGACCCGAATTCCCCATGCGACGTTGTGGTTCGCACTTCGCTAGACGGAAATCGAGCGTGGAGCAGTCGGATCGATATCAAGATTGATGCCGAGCCCAGCTTCAGACTACGGAGTACCTAGGCGCCTTATGCAGATGTGCCGTCTCATCCATCCTCTAGTCTGGTTTCTGCCGTCATCGCTCCGTCAACAAATCCTGGGGAAGCTTTCGACTTTGTTATACCAGCATCAGTTTCGTCGAGATACCAGGCCAAGCTGGGTACCATAATGCGTCGAAGACTCAAAGGGGTCGAGTGGACAGGGCTGCGAGTACAGTGTGACGCGACGCGCTCACGAAAGTGCAAAGTTTGAGCACAGTGCGATGTGAAAATGGTGGGGGGAGAGAGGAGCAGAGGCATGCAGGTTGCAGGGATGTTCTCCGGGTCTAGTGCGTCATAAGACGGTAGCCGACGGGACAGGTCGTTCTGCTCCGGGGATACGTACCGTTTGCTGACCTGAGACTCCCGTTCGCTGAGGTGGTCGGGCGCTTTCTCCCACCTGGACATCCAGTGCAAGAACAGTGAATCCCCCCCCCAAACCACGCGTGAAGAGAACGGGAGCAAGCGGTCTGCGTGGAGCAATCCAGTGGGTCGCCGGACATCAGAGAAAATTTTGGAAATTCCGTCATTGTCGCAAATTACGGACCCTTCTTGTCTGGATTGCAACCTGCACCGTCGATTAGGCCAGTCTTCGACACAAACTGCTTGTAAGAATGACTGTGAATAAGTCAAGAGGCCGTTTCGATTTGGGTTTGTTCACTGTCGAACCTCGCGTAGCCGTACCACACCTTTAGGATCACATCGCCGACCGTGCCGGGGCGACGATGGGGGTGGGAAACAGCGTTGGGCTCGTTTGCTTGGCTCAGATTTTCTATTCGTCAGCATCTGGCTCGACACAGTTACGTCATGACCAGTGACGCCACCAATGCGATACAGAAACTGAAAAGTATCGAGACAGTACGGACCCAATTGCAGCCCGGACATTGGCCAAAGCTGTGACCATCGAGCGCATTTGGTGCCGTTTTCGAGAACTTTGCCAGTCTTCCGTCTCAAGCTAAAAACAGACCACATGAACCTGATGTCGTGACGTAATGTTTGGAAGCAGACAGGCGCAACTGATGGAGATGCGAATCGCGACCTGTAGTGTTGGTATCCGTAGAGCTTCGCTTGTCAAAACGGCATCACCTAGTATCAGCGAACCATTGCGAGAAGCAGCATAAATCCTTGCCGTTGGCGCGTTGGGGAAACTGGGAGCTCGAGGAAACGGGGTGAACAATTCCAGGTTGTCTCCGCGTGCGTGTCTGGCTAAAGGGTATCGCCTGTCTGGTGCGAGTGTTGTGACGCAATTTGTTGTACGGATACGCTCCAGTGGAGTAGGGGAGAGCGGGGACTGGCTACCGGGGCCTCCCTGACCAAGCTGCAGCTCTTTGCGACACCCTATTGGATATTGAGAACCGTAATTTGCCACTTCCGGTCTCCCAGTCGCGTCAACAACCGACCGTCGATGTAGCCAGTCGTGCCTCACTTCCACCGGCAGATCTGGGTCAGGACCTTCAGGTCACTGCAGCTTAGAAATCCACAAAAATTGGTCGTTGTACAAGGACACGGAAGTGCAGCGACTTGGAGTGATGGGTTGATAACGATCCTGTGGACGAGCATACCGGTAGATGCTTTTCTGTAGTCTGTACAGTGGCTGTACGGTTCAGGTAGACTGGCGGGATCGTGATGGAGGATGAAAGCTCTTGCTCGGAAAGGAAATGAGCACGTCGATCTCTTCACCGTAACGATTTTCCTGTGGCCAGATTCCTCCAGGAGACCGGCAGCCGCACCCTGTAGACACCAAGCAGGGCATAGGTGGCAGGTGGTCCGATGGCGTTGACTGTTCTAGACTCTCGCGAAAGGTGTGATGCATGGCATGGCGATGCGAAAGGCCCGGTCAAGTTCATCGTTGGCATGTTTCTTGCTGTTGGGTGGATGAGGGCGAATGATTGTAGCCGTAGAGAAGAGAGTGGCTCGGTGGGCGATTATGAAGGAATGAGAGGTGGATTGTTCATTGTCGTGAAGTCAGTCCCGTAAGCTCCACCTTCGCGGCGCCTGAGGAAAGGCAAAAAAAAAAAAAAAAAAAAAAAAAAGGAAAAAAGAGCAGAAAGGGACAGGATGCCATGGCCCATGATTGCGACAGGAAGGAAAAGTGATGCAATCAATACAGGGGTCGGAAGACTTGGGGGAGGGGACCGCCAAATGGAGACGTGCAGCCACAGTAGCAAACGTTGGCTGCAGATACTGGCTGGGTGGTGCCAGCTGCGTTACGACACTGAAGGGGGGGGACAATACTTGGACCACACCCCCCGGCCTTGCATTTTCACCTAAACGGCGACTACCACTGTCGACCAGCTAGAGTCTGATTGGTCAGCTCGCGTACAGTGTGTGCAATCGTGCCGTCCGCGTTGGGGACGACCGCCTGATTTTCCACACGTATCGTACAGTGCGGACATCTTCGACGTTGGCAGAGGGCGGGACGGTGATTGCAGCGTGGAAGAGAAACATTTACGTGCCGCGGGCGGGAGGGGAATCTCAGCGGCTTCAATGACGGTGGCTGAAAACCTCAACAGCAAGTCAAGATATGATGGTGGTGGTGGTGATTTTGGTCCGAGGCATTGCAACAGCCGTCTTGACATCTTCCTTCAGCTGATAAATCAAGATAAGGCGAAGACGAGAGAGAGAGAAAAAAATGGCCACTCAAAGGCAATATGTGTCCGTAGATGGAGAATGCGAACGAGAGGGTGCGCGGCTTCGGCAGAGTCGTCTGCCGTCATTCGCCTGAGGCGATAAGATGGGATGGAGTCTGATGTAGGTAGAGGCACACGTCTTGAGTCGCTCTACACTTGCAACAGGTCAGGTTTAGTGGTCAGGTCCCCAGTAGATAGGTACCTATGTTGGGTGACAACATATGTACAGCCATTTAAATGCTTGACACCTTGAGAGAGCTTGCGAAATCCGAGAAGCAGGACTCGATCGAGGATGAGTTGTTGACCGGGCCCTCATGTCGGTTGCAATCGAGGCAGCATTCGTTCCTACCATTCCTATACCTCGCGCCATTGTTGAACGCGCACTACGGAGTACGTATCTTTTCTTCCGTAGAGGTACGAAGACCAGGACGAGGTACCTTGCTAAACTGGAATGTCAGACTGGTGTGGTGGGACCATTTCTCCATTGGTAAGCCGTTCTTGGACGTCGGAGCATTCGGCGCACAGTGCGACAAAACAACACCCCACAAAAAGCCCCAGCGTTTCTCGCAGAACGGGGAAGGAGGAAGAGAAGGGGACGAGGGAAGAAGAAGAAAAAGGCCAGGAGTTGCTGGACGGATACCAAGTGGAAGGAAGCGCGCAAGATCAAGCAGCAGAAAGGCAGAAAGCCTGTCGTGACTGAACCAGGACGGGGGGGTCGTTGTTGGAAGGGGTGGGCACTGGGCGTGGATGGGGACATGGACATGGTCGTGGGCGTTTTGGTGTCAGAGTGTGCGCCGCCGCCCACCCATTTTCTTTTCCTTCGTGCGCCCTCGCCCTTTTTTTTTTTTTTTTTAAAATCGACCACCGCGCAACGTCATACTTGACCTGTGACGTCTGCCGTTTTTCTCCCCCGACATCTTACTCTCACAACGATACTCGTTCTGCACCCCCATCTTAGCACGTCCCTGGGTACGCATCCAGACAAGAGGCCACAACTACGCAATACCTCTTTTTTTTTTTTTCCCCCCTGCTGGCGGCCGTAGAGAAAGAGAGACAACTTTTTCCCTCACCACCGTCGTCGATCGTCGAAAGCTATTCCATTCCCGTGTCGCTTCCAATTCAGAGGAGCGCTGCAATAGCGTAGCTGCTGCCTCTGACGGCTAACCTTTTGCTGCCGTCGCCAACGCTGCTTTGCCCGTCCCTCCTATACTGCGCAGCAGATTGGCCCCCCCCCCCCCCGATCTCACGCATCGATTCCGACCCAGATCTATCTATCTTTCTAAGCTTATTCTCCTGCGTGTCTTCCTCCTCTGACCTCATCTGGCTTTTTCAACACTACCATACCTACATCATCATCCTTACCCTGCTACTGTCACCTTTTGCCTTTGGCGTCCACCCCACAAACGTCAACAACGGTTCTTTCCCCAAATATAATACATCATCGTCGTCATCATGGGGACCTCACCGAACGGCGCCTCGACCGGGGGTGATACGAAGTCGCCCAAACAGTCCAACAATGCCACTCCCCCACGTCAAAGTAAGTCGGACACCCTCTTCATCGTGTTACTCGTCGTCTCCTTCACCGAAAGATGTTGCCGTTGTTGTCGCCATCGTCGTCGTTGTCCACTCGCTCACCTTACGATAGATACTATTCCGGAAGTGAAGCAACCCGACCCGAGTCTGAAGCCCGATGCTGACGGCGCAAAACCTCTTGGTCCTCCCCCTCGACCTGGACAGACTACTGGAAATACTCCCGATTACTTCGGCGCCGGAGCCGCCTCTCTCAGTCTGGAGCCCAATCCCTTTGAGCAGTCTTTCGGCGGAGGCGCGCCAGAGACACCAGGTGGTACGAAATTACCATCAGTTGCTGCTCTGACCTCGCCATCTTCGTTGCTCCCTGGTAGCGGTGCAACTCCATTCAACTGGGGAGGAGGTTCTTTGCGGACCGGTCCTTTGAGCCCGGCCATGTTATCAGGTCCTACCAGCGATTACTTCAGCGACACGCATCATCTCCGTGGCGGCTTCCCGACCCCGAACGAGTCTTCGTTGAGAACTGGCTTGACTCCTGGTGGCAGTGGTTCCATGTTCCCTGCCCCCAGCCCCAACTCTCAGCAACTCTACGCTCAGTTGGCTAGTGGTGGTGCAACGCCCAGCACCATCGATTTCCATCGTACTGCATTAAGCGCTGCTGCAAAGCGTGACACGCAGGCCCAAAATCAAAACCAGAACCAAAACCAAAGTCAACCCCAGAACCAGACTCAAAACCACAACCAGCAACAGGCAGCCGTGACTTCGCAGCCGCAGGATATGCCAAACGGCGCACCTGCCGTCAAGACCGAGACAAAGCAGTTCGATCCGCACGATAACGACGCAGCGAACGGCCTGTTTATGCTTGCTCAGGGTGCCCAGGGCCGAAACGGTGCTCCCAACGGCGGATTCGCGGCAACGCAAGCACAGTCCCAGGCTCACCCACCTCCACCACCCACTCAGGGCGTAAACACGTCACCTCAAATGAGTGCTAACGGTGCCGGATCTGTTGGTGCCGGATCATCAGTACGAGGTGTTAGCGAGGGCGGAAGTGCTATGTCGGATGATAGCGAGCAGGCCCGCCCCGCAGCCAGGGGTAAGGGCAAGCGCAACTCGACTGGCGGCGCCTCTACAAATGGCCGAAGAAAGGCTGAAGAGCCTCCGGCCAAGGGCCCGCCCGCTAAGAAGTCGAAGCCGAACAACACTGCTCCCCCTATGGACATGATGGGAGATGATAGTCAGTCGGATGACGATGACATGAAGCATGAGAACGGTGAAGGCGGAAAGTCGAAGATGACTGACGAGGAGAAACGCAAGAACTTCTTGGAACGTAACAGGTAAGCACCAACATCTGAAGATTGCAGTCAAAGATGACACTAACTTCGTTGCAGAGTTGCTGCCCTTAAGTGTCGTCAGCGCAAGAAGCAGTGGCTGGCTAACCTCCAATCAAAGGTGGAGCTGTTCAGCAGTGAGAACGACGCTCTCACGGCTCAGATCACGCAGCTGCGCGAGGAGGTCGTAAACCTGAAGACATTATTGCTGGCCCACAAGGACTGTCCTGTCACCCAACAGCAGGGCCTTCACGGTGCCTTCATGCAACAAGCCATGGAGCCATTCAATCCTCAGATGAACCCGTATGGTATGGCCGCTCCTATCCCCAACCAGCAAGTCCTGGCGGCAGGTCAGGGTGTGCAACGCCGATTTTCATAGGATGATGAAGCCTTGTACAACAATCATTTCGAAGATGAGGAGTTGGAGGATTCTACCCATCAATGAGCAACCCGTTGAGGTTGCGGTTCTCGACTAGCCTCTGGCGACGTCGGGATTACGACTTTCATGCTGTTCCATTCTATGGCCTAGCCATATCTTTCGGTTCAACTGTATCATCATTATATACGACGTGCTTGCGCCCAACATCTTCACTTCGTTGCTACGACCGGGCTGCAAGGATCAATCGAGGATAAGCTGTCCAGTAACAGAGGCAGCACACCTTGGGTAGGAGGAGGCAGGGAGTTTGGCAGGCGTCATTTGCTTGCTGCGATTGTATCAGTCCGTCATTGGAAGGGCTAGATGCTGGGCATATACATCAAAAGGAGTTTAGGGGTTGGCACGTCATTTGAAAGGGTGTAGGCGTCGAAGGGTGGTCGATGGGAATACGCCATCTTCCACCGGCTGGTTGATTTCATCTGATTTATTGTAGCAACGGTAACAAGAGCTGCATGAACGGCAATGCCTCGTGGTCATTTAATTTATGAGATTTTGCCCAATTTTTGAATCCTTGGATTGACTGCGCTTGCCAGTGAAGATAATGCACAACTTTATGCCACTTGTGACATTGAATAATGGGCGGTCATGATGAGCAGCGAGCCGAGATGCGAGTGAATATACGGAGTAAAAGGGCATCGGGTCAATCTATCGACAGCGGTGAGTGGAACAATGGAAGTGATGTAAGTGAGGCAGTCATGTTCCAGGGTTGTGAGTGGTCAAGAGTGGGTTCCCAAATAGGACTAGCGCGAAAGCTCGGGTAAATCCTCCCTCACTCGTGTAAACAACATCGCAGAGGAGGCGCACCCAAACTCCGTGCCTCGCGCCGCCGACTATCACACCTGCATAGAAACGCGAAAACCACGACAGCACCCCGCCCACCACACTCCTGGCAAGACTGGAAATACGCAAAACCGCACCGAATTTTTGGCTGGCTTTGATTCCTCGCGCGCCGATTGACGCGCTTTTCGATTGCCTCGAGGCGCAACCTTCCGTTTTCCACTACGAGCACCACCTTTCGTCTCTCGACCGCATGCTTCATTTGACGCGCCATCCATGACGACCGTCATCCGCACCCGTCACCCGTTGCAAGTAATTAGCATGAGCAACGAGCAGCCAGAGAGAAGGAAAAGCAAGCGTCTTGCGGGTGAGTTGGAGGAGCGCGGGGAGAGGGCGGGGAAGATGCTAAAACGACGCGCAGCTTCATCGGTTTACGACGAGCAGGATGGCGACTTCCACTTCACGCGCGGATCGAAATCGAAACGAGTTAAGAACGCGGAGTCCGAGCCGGAACCTGAACCGGAGTCTGAACCGGCGCCACTACCACCGAAAAAGTCTGGAAGAGGACGGCCAGCAAAAGGACGCGCTTCGGTGGCAACAAAGGCGCCCGAGCCTGCATCACCAGTAGCAGCGCCAAAGGCGGCGACATCATCAAAGCCGCGAACGCGACGAGCAGCGAGCTTACAGCCGGCGGAAGACGACGAGCTGCAATTGTTTGCGCCTAAGCGCACGACGAACCGAAGCACGCGCAGTTCGACTGGGAAAGCGCAGAAGGCAAAGCCGGCCAGGAAACCAGCACCGGAACCAGTACAGGAGGAGGAGGAGGAAGCACACGATGAAGTTCACAGCGCGACACCGAGGGAGCTGGAGCCGAATAGGCGGCGGACGCAACCCGCCATGGAGGAACCAGTCGAGTCTGCAAAAATCACGCTTCCCGTCAGCGACACGCCTGTTATCAATCGCAACAAGGAAATGAGGAAAAAGGGCGGAGTCAATCGCCGGAGCAGCACGGGAATGCGCGGTCGGAGAGCAAGTTCGCTGATTGAGAGTGGGCACAACGCGATACCCCACCGAGAGGTCGATTCTGCAGAGTTTTACAAGCACATCGAGTCGGAGGGTCTGATGGAACCAAGACGGATGAAGCAGCTGTTGACCTGGTGTGGTGAACGGGCCTTGCTGCAAAAACCGCCCCATGGCCAAACAGATTCCAATACTATTCTGGGTGGTGAGTAAAGTACAAATCTGGAAGAACCCGTGCCTAGGCTGACATTTCTCCCACCAGCTCGCTACATTCAGGAACAGCTCTTGAAGGACTTTTCCACAAAGTCGGAATTTTCAGACTGGTTCAGTCGAGAAGAGGAGAGGCCAAAGAAGCCCATAGTGTACCTTCCAAACCCACGGAACCTAGAACTCCAGGAGAAAATTGAGCAACAGGAACAAAAAGTCAAAAGGTATGTATCTCGATCATCCAAAGTCATGAGGCTGCGGGCACTAATCATTTATAGATTAAAACAAGAAAAGAAGAAATGGCTGGCGCTCAACAAGACGCGTCCGGAGATCCCGCCACTCTTCCCAGAAACAGATACAGCACAAACAGCAACAGCAGATGCATCCATACTGGAACCAAACGAGGCAGAGATGCTGAGCTGGCTCACCGATCCGGCATCCTCGTTTGAGAACGTCCGCGCCAAGGCGCTCGCCCGTCTGCAAAACACGCAGTCAACGCTGGAATTTAAGGTGGACCAGCTCGCGGACGGCATACACAAGCTCTCGCAACGAGTCGACACGGCGGGCCGAGAGGCGGATAAGGTCCTCTCTCTCAGCGCCGCGCGGCTCAAGGAGCGGGAGGTGAGGGAGAAGGCCACGGCGGGCACCAAGGAGATGCCCGTTATGGAGGTGCTCCGCAGCCTGGGGAGGATATTACCAGAGGGCGGGGAATAAAGGAAACGATTCTTATTACACGCAACGCCGCTCTCTCTCCTTCTTTTTTCTTTATGACGAACCTTGGAGAAGGGGTATAATGACTGATATGAAATTGTGGTTGTGGTTGGGGGGGGTGGGGGCGGGGAGGTTCGTTCCTCTTTTGATTTTTCTTCCCTTCAGGTTTATCTTGGGGGGATGTTCATCCGAGATGGGTCATCTCTGGGGGAGGCTGGAAGGCACAAACGTTTTGTTCCCTTCTTTCGATGCTTTTCTTGGCATGGGATTGGCGCTGGAGGCGGGCTTTTGGGGATGGATTTTTTGAGGTACAGACTGCATCTCGAACGGAGTTTTCATTTAGCCAAATACCCACATGTTCTTTCGCTACCCGCGTCTGTAGTACGTTGCCGTAATGATGCCGTTCTTGAATGTGTTGAATCGGTGCATGGCCAAAAAGGGCCAATGTTGAGGTTGGGGGATCTTTAAGAGATACGCAATGGAGGGCACATCTCTCTTTGTTATTCATTTCATTGTCAGACATGGTAGCCATGTGACGCGACCCGGCTTTTCGGCATCGCTACTGTACAACTAGCACGAACCCCCGATCCGTTCTCCACAACTCGGCAGATACAGTCGGATTGTTATTGAAGAATTTGGCTCGTTCCGATCTTGATGAAGAATCACGCAAGGATCCTGTTATCAATACCTCTATTACCTTCATTAGTAGCTACTCTACGCACGGGTGCACGATCCAAGCCACCTCCGCGTGCCCGTCAAGATGCCATATTTGCCAGCTTCATGTCATTGATTAGGAACATGTCAGAAGCAGATTCGGCTGTAATGTAATTTGCGTTATATCATTCATGGCTTTTTATGGTGACCGTCGTATGTATGCATACACTAATACACACTCGAAAACCCCGAGGTGGTTTTTGATGCTTCCGATGGCATCACAGAGAAACTCATCATCACCGCTCCCGCGGCGTTGTCAACATCTCTCGTCTTCCGTAACTCCTTTACGCTGTTGGTCAAGCCATTGAGGCTGACCTCCGTTTTCACTTCACCAATGTATGCAATTTAAATCAGGTGCTTGGACCTATCGTTGTATGCCATGGTTAGCTTTCCAAATTTTCGAAATCAGAGAACTCGATGAAAAGCAACAAACCTAAAGTATGCCCGCAGGTACATAATCTGCCAACCCCACAGACCGACGAGGATGAGCGTCGTGCCGATGCCGAACCACTTGACGCGGGTGTTTGTGCTCTCGTTGGTGTCGCGCAGCTTGTGCTCGCGGGCGCGCAGGTAGTCCATCTCGGTGTTGATCTCGCTGACGAGCTCGTCGATGCGCCTAAGCTCCGCCTCGACGGGCTTGAGCTTCTCCGTCGCCTGGATGGCGTTCCAGTCCTTTGCGTCGGCGCCAATGTCGATGTCGAGTTCAATGTGGCGGCTCGTTGCGCCGCTACGGCCGGCTATTTAGTTTCGACTCTTGTCAGCTATCATGGCTCTTTGTCCCCTTTCTTCTGAAGCGTGGTAAAGGGTTATTGGTTTCAAGCCATGGCGATGTGCTTAGTTATAGGGGTAGGTTGAGTGCGACGTACAGCCAGAGAGGATGTTTTCGAAACAAACGTCAAATGCGGCGTCTGCGTGGGAGGTGAAGACGACACGCTTCTCGCCGCCTGCAATGTCCTTGGGCTTTCCGTAGTCGTTGCCAACAGCGTCCTTGATCTAGAGAATCACTCATCATTAGCCAAACTGCCGTTGCGACTAATTTGCCTCTTTTCCCCCAATCCTCTCCGTTGTTGCTTTCGACTCGAATCTCCAGAAGAATGTCCTTTTATTTCGAGATCTAACCCAAACATCGAGGAGAATGGCGTAGGGGGCATAGCAGTTGAGGCCACATACGTGCATGTTGACGGTCATGCCGTCACCCTTTGAACCGTCCACAATGGCCGTGACGACGACCAAGGTGTCCCTAGCGACGAAATTACGGATGCATCGCTCCTTCTTGCCCTCGTGGGTGCTCGTGGCCTGCAGATCGAACCTCAGCGCCTGGGCGCAGCAGGCGAGAAGCACGAGACTGCACACGTAGCGCAGCAATGATGTTGTCGGCGCCATGGCTAATTCGTAGAAAAGTCCGTCTCAAGTTCGAAGAGAACTTAAGCTAGTATTCGATCGATTCGAGGTCGGGGCCAAGTCGGCGGTCGTGGTTGCGGGGGGGGGAAGGAAGAACAGCCTGGCGTGGGTGGTGGGAATTGCGTCGTTGAAGGAGCTCCCTGGGCTAACGAGGACACAACTGCGATAGGAGAGCTATGGGCCTCAAGGAACCACCTTTGGGGATTTTTGGAAATCTGTCGCGTTCGAAAAAGCCTGGACCACTTGAGGACCCCTGTCGGACGGGTAGAGGCTGCCCGCTCTGGGCCAATTGGGCTCGGTGGGTGGGGCAGCCTCGCGCCTTGGCACTCACGTGAGCGTAATAGCCTCGCAGCTTTTTGGGTGTGGCGGTTGCTCGTGCCTGGCGCGCTGCCTCTCAACTTCGCGATGCGACAAAAGCAGCATTGTAGCTTGAGGAATCCGGTTTTTGTCCACTGAACTGCTGCTAAATTGGAACCTCGTCAATTCAATACAGCATCTTCCAATAAACGAGATCATACCGCCAAGATGCCTAAATGTAAGTCGCGATCTGCTCCAAGTATCTCTGCAAAGACAAAGCTAACATGAGGTTCCAGTCTTCTGTACGTCTCAACCACCCCCACGGTCCACCGCGAAGCTTCTCCAGCCCGAACTGACACATCTCCGATCCTAGGCGATTACTGCGATGTGTACCTCACGCACGACTCCATGAGTGTGCGCAAGGCGCATAACAGCGGCCGAAACCACCTGCGCAACGTCGTCGACTACTACCAACGTACGGCTCCTCCTTCCTGCCCATTCACCGCGACACATCGAAGCTAACATACTCTCCTCGTCTCTAGAAATCGGCCACGAAAAGGCCCAGTCCGTCATCGACTCCATCACCTCCTCTTACGCCGCAGAAGGCCAAGCCCACAACAACCCAATGCTGCCACAAAACCAGCCCGGATCGGCCTTCCCGCCGCCGTTCCCCTTCCCAGGAGGTTCGTACATACCTTACCCTTCCCACCCCTCTATCCAAGTGCCATCCCATGGCGACAGGCACTTTTTGCATCACGTACTAAACTGATCCCCCTCCACAGGTGTCCCACCTCCCTTCCCCGGCATGCCCGCCGGCGCACCACCCTTCCCTCAAGGCATGATCCCACGTAAGTCCCACCAGGAACCCTTCTTCCAAAGCCTTTCACAGACTAACATCCGTAACTAGCCCCAGGACAAGGCGGCCGCGGCATGCCTCCCATGCCCCCCTTCCCCCCCGGCCCCAACGGCTCACCAATGCCCCCCGGAGGCCTACCGTTCCCCCCGCCCGGAGGTCTCCCAGCCGGCTTACCATTCCCGCCCCCGGGCGCGCCAGGCGGCCTGCCCCCCAACTTCCAGTTCCCCGGCATGCCGGGCGGCGGCGCGTTCCCACCTGGACCCCCTGGCGCGTTCCCGCCCGGTGGCGGTCCTCCGGGTCAGGACAGGCGGTAAAGTGTAGCTTGGTTACCACCTTGGTGACAGCGAAACTACCTTGGTAAAAAAGCGGCATTCTCTCACACGGGACGGGGGCACGTGTCTTCTTGGTACAAGTGGGATTTGGTGTTTAGGCGTCATATTCAGGGCAAAGGGTGTATAAAAACTTTTCATGACATGGCATGGTATATCACATTCAAAAACAAGATAGAAGAAGCCAAAGCTCCATCCTGCGCAACTCAGAAAGGGTCGAGGTTCTTTCTGTTTTCTCGTTCCGAGGCTTGAGTAAAGAAACTTGAGTAAAATGGTATCTTGACGAGCAATTTTTTCTATATGATACAATAATAAGAAGTCCCTCTTTATTTGTAGCAGACAGCGCGCGTTCAATCGTTCATCAACACCTGGCCCTCCCGGTCCAAGAACATCATGTGTCATCAATATCGTCAGAGAATGTCTCAAGTGCGAAACTTTGCTCCCCCTCCTGGCATCAGCTCTCTCCCGAATCCGCGAAGAAAACAATTCTTTGTGTCGTTAAAAAGATTCTGTAGTCGTAAAGATGAAAAAAGCCAAAGCGTTCGTTCGTAGCAGTCGTAATAATCCCATTGATTTCCTCCAGCACTCCCCATTTGGTGCTTCGCACCCAGATATATTACTCGTTGAAAACTGCTCCAGATGGAATATCATTTGTAGTGATGAAAAATTTTGTACGTTGGAAGCGCATCAAAAATGTGCGACTGGCAAGTTATTTTGTTCGTTTGGGGGGCCGCGATACGAGTTCCTTCGAAGGACGTCGCCCATGCCGTCTCTCACTTCGCGCGGCCCGCTGATCTTCTGTCTCAGCTCCTGCGTCCTCTTCTCTCGCTTGCGCTCGTTCAGCTGTCGCGGAAGGTTCTGCAACCCTTCTAAGGTGCCCGAGATCGAGAAACGACGTCTTCGTTTCGGCCGCTCGTCTGCGTCGCGGTCGTTGTCTTTCTGCCTCGTGGAGGGCCCCGAGGTAGGTGGGGATTGATCGCGTAGAGAGTCGAGGCTGCCACGGCGTCTCATGACCCGGAGGTTCCCGCTGTCTGTCCGGCGGATGGTTCTGCGATCAGGCTCGTTTTGATATCCAGAGTAGACGTCATCCTCACCACGTGCAGGAAGAATGGCAAACGTCTTCTTCACCCGCTCGCTAATACGTCTTCGGGGGCTCGGCCGATTGTCGATAGGAGGATATCGATAGACCTGGCTGATGGGCTCGTCCTCCATTTCTCTCTCCCATACATCGTCCTCCTGATCTGAGTAGGCAGGTCGCCAGTGCGGATGCAACCGGTCGTCCTCGGGCGGCGGGGCCATGCATTCCGGGCATGAGCATGGTTCTTCTACGGCAGAATGGTCCTCACCGCGGGTCCCAGAGCTTGATCCTCTTCTCGTTAGAGAAAAGGTTCTGGTAAGCAGCCCAGGTCTGCCACTCTTGGGCGGGTACGTCTCCGAATTTCGTCGTCGGACCAATGCCCTTTTGATAACAGATCTACTCCGCTGAGGCTGCTCCTCCTCCATCGCCTCGAAATAGTTGCCCATGTTGCGTTGTCTCTCATGATTGGGGGTTAGCCCCGAAGGCGTTGCGGGAATGAACTGAATCGCAGGTGGATTAATTGGAGGGACCGGAGGCGCCGCACGAGGGTTGCGGAGTGGTGAATCAACGTCGTCCATAGAATGCTGAGGCTGCGGTGGTGTGATTGGACACTCGCCGTCTGGTCCAGTGGTGATGATCGTAGGCCTCTGGAGCGTTTGTGGCAACTCTCTCTCTGTCTGCGAGTCCTCGGAGTCCTCCGATGGCTTGTTGGAGTGGTTGACAACAAGCACGGATGAGTTCTGATGAGGGTACAAGCTCACAGCCTTGGCCTCAGACACTTCGGGCGCAGTGCCGCTGGTTTCTACCGAAGCTGCTGAGAAGGGCGTATTTTGCGTAGACAGCCGTTTGCCAAAGAAGGGATCACCATGACGGTCAACGTTAAGTTTGTGGTCTCGGTGATGGTGGCCGTTATCAGTCTCAGAGGAGGTTGCTCTTTGGAGGGTCAAGGCGGGTACCCTCGTTTCATGTCCAGGCTGTTGATTCAACAAAGCGTTCTGAGATTTCAAACTTTCCGCGGTGAGTGAGCCAGCGCGCGAAGTGTTACGGCTGGTCGGAGCAGATAAGGAGGAAGAACGCTTCGGGATGACAGGCGGGTAGTCAATCGTGCGTTGGTCAGATCCATCTGATTCGGACATTGAGCGGAGTTTTCGCCCTAGACGCTCGAATACAGGCGTAGGCAAGTCGTGACTTCTTGGTCCATTTGTACGAGTCGTCGAACCGATACTATTACTTCTTTTGGATCGCCTACTGCTGGTCGACCTGAGGGACGGCTCCCGGCTAGATTTGGACGATCGACGATCCGGAACAACAATGACCGGTATGCCACCGCTCTTCCAGACTTCTCTGCGTGCTTTGCTACTTGAAATCGAATTGAACGTGGTGTTCGAGGCATAACTGTCATGACGGCTTTCGCTAGGACGAGTGAGCGCCCTAGATCGCCTCGGACTTCCTTCCAACTGAACAGCTGAATTTGTGGCAGAGCTGAGGGGAGACAGATCAGAGCCTGAATCCCTCAACCCAAATTGCTTTCGGACGTGTCTGAGTGTCTGCCTTCTCTGGGGGATTGAGGGAGCTTCGACCAAGATTGCCTCGACAACAGTCGAGGCAACCGACTTGGTTGACTTTGCAGACTTCGCAGACATTCCCGACATTCTGCGAGAGTCCGCATCAGCTGTCTTTCCTGGGGTCGAAGTGTTGGGCCAAGCGATTTCGCTAGGTGCGTAGAAAGCTGCCCTGTCTCGTTGGGACATAGCGCGCACCGCCTTGGTTGCGTTTGTCGGTGTAACAACGCGGTCTTCGATAATCTCGACCCTCCGCCTTCCAGTCCGAGGCGGGGCTTCGGGCTTAGTACGCCTCTTTCTTACTGTAACATTTCTGCCCAGGTTGTCATCCCATTCTTGTTCCACTTCGTTATTTGAGGCCCATTCTCCGTCAAAGCTACCAAAGTCGGCCTTGGCCTTGGGAGTTGGAAGGTTCTCAGAAGGTGATTCCAGTCCCAGGCCTAAACCGACTGGGGGCGGCGTCCTTGCCTGAGGCTCGGAAACGCGACGGACTGTGTTCTGGGAAGTTCGTGCTGACAGAATATTTGGCCGGACAGTCGATTGCAAGTCCTCTTCAGAAGAGAAGGGCTCTTCTCTGGCAGTTCGAAAAGACTCAGTCCGCGACTCGACAGTAGTAGCTTTCGATACTGTGCGGTCGATAGGTATCGGTCGAACAGCCTTAGGGCGAGTGGCAGGTTGAGGCGGCGTCACGTCAGGCGTTGGTGGACTTTTCTGGTTCGGAGGAGTGGCTGGCGCGCGCGCTGGAGTTGTTGGTGTCTGTGATTCCGGCGCATGAGGTTCGGCGGGCGCTGGGCTCGGATGCTGGATAGAGTGTGTGCTCGATGAGGTTCGCGAATGGGAAGGCGGTGTCGGAGGCAAATCCGGGCCACTGCCTATCCGCTTAGGTTGGTGTCTCAGTGTCTGGGGGCTTTGGTGTTGCGGCCCTCGCATTTGCGATGCTACAGCATCCACGTCAAGGTCATATTTCCTAGGCGTCGACCGCACTTCATAGGAATGCGCAGAGTCGCTCGCATGTCTCCTAGGGTGCGGTAACACTTTATGCTTTTTGAACATTCTTTGCGCCTGCAAGCCGTCTGCAGGCAAGGTCGAGACGTGTTTCTTAGATCGAACCGACATGGCGGCGGAGTTGAGGCTCGTAGCAGCAGCCATTTCAAAGGACGGTTGTTGGAAAACGTTACATGGACATGCGACGCGCTTCAAATGCACACACGTTGACCCTTCGCAGGTTAGCGAGGATGGGAAAGGGCCAGAGTTAATTGCATGCTGAGCAGAGTGAAGTTCATGAGCGTGTTCGTGCTTGAGATGAAGAAGTGAGTAGCCGACAGTACGACGCTGGACAGTTCGGAGTGCCGAGTGAAGGAAGGTGAAGATTGAAAAACGCTGGTGGTAGAGACGAGAAAGTCTTAAGGGTAGGCGTGAGACATTGAATCGGAAAGACTTGGTTGGTGAATCGCGTCGGAATTCAGTGACGTCCAGTGGGCGATGGCAGTCGTGAGAGGGACAACAGAAGCGATGAGACGGAACACAATCCTCAAGGTGGTTCAACCTGGCGATATGAGACGGAATCTCTGTGGTTGAGGTGAAGAGTAGGTGGTCGCAGTGGTCACGATATACGGCCCGTGTTTTGTGCTGTGTAGAGAGAGAAGGAGGGGGATGAGGCGAAGACGAATACTAGGGCGTGGGATGCGGTCCGATCGGGACCAAGTCGCACAGACCGACGTAGGGAGAGGAGGCTAGGCGTAGGGGGCCTAGACACAGAGAGGACGGGATGATATGTGAGATTGACGCTGCGCTTCGGCCGGCCTTGGTGGAAGCGTGAAAAGGAGGTGAAAAGGGTAATCCAAGGCTTCCTGCGGCCTGCGGACGGACGCTGGCGCTATTTTGGTGCTGGACACGGCTTCAGGAGGTTGAGACGACGGAGAGAGTCGAGGGTTGAGAAAAGACAGACGGGAAGGATGATTGGCAGGGCGGGAAAGGGTCTGACGCAAATGAAGAGAAAGCGCCCTTTGGGGTGGGAGAAGAGACAAGGGCAGAGCAGAGCAGAGCAGAACAGAGACGGAGCGGCATGTATCCGGACGTGAGAAGATTGGTGGTGGCAGAGGGTTGCAGAGACAGAGACAGGCGAGGAGGAAAGCTGGCGATAGGTGCGAGAAAGAGGAATGGCGGGGCGTTGCGCGCCGGTAAATGGGTACATGATACTTTACATCATTGAGGTGCTAGGAACCCTACCTTACCTAGGTATTGAGGTAGGTACCTAAGGTGAGGTAAGGTAAGGAAGAGAGGTCGAGGTGAGTCTGGTGAGGTCAGTACTTTAGACCCGACTGTTCCATGCCATGTACCTTTCCACTGCGACTGCCAGTAAAAACACATTAAGCGCATCTCAGTCCAATGGGACGTGGGTCCAACATGTTCGTTTCGTGACGGCTGCGCGCGAAAAAAGACTGGGCAGCCCCCGTCGCAAACTGTGCGTGTTCCGCGTGGACGGTGGATTCGGGGCCTTTCCAAACCTGCCGAGTCAAGGAGAGTCCTAGTATCCGTAGCTTAGGTTCCTCCTGTCAGGTAGGTAGTACTTCATGGTCGCGCTCCATGGAAGTCTCAAGTCCAAAAGAGGGCAGAAGTTGGCCAGAGAAAATTCGGGTGGCGGGGAAAGGAACGAACAGGCAAACAGCCCTACCTT